CATCTTGATTCTGTTCTGGTGGATGTGAGAGAAGGCAACTAGCTGCTGCGCTCATCTCGCTCATTTCACGCACATTTTACTATCGTCCCTCTTCAGAACAGAGCTGGTTTGCATCATTTGCGATGACCGCATGCTCCAGATTGCACGCTGTCCAGTTAGGCCAGTTAGCGTTGGAGGTCTCATGATAAATGGCCACTGTGTCTGATGTGCGTCATGTTCTCATGAGATTGTGATCTGGTTTTAGTAGGTAGTATTTTGCGCGCAGGTGACATGGCCGTGTTGGTAGCAGTTAGGTAGTTCAGTTTAGTGCGTTTTTTTGATTTGTTTCTAAGTTTCGAAGCATATACGACAGGCGACCGGTGTTTATACATCTGCAGCTGCTTTAGGAACACCTTACATAAGTGAACTGACATCACCGCGCCTTACACTCTCAAGCGCACACTGATGACCCTAGTTGGACCACACGGAAGGCGCTGTCCTCAATGGCGTCGGCCATTCTACCGTGACCAAGCACATACTTTATTTCCTGCTTTGCAGTCTTACATGACCGGGGTCTTTTTCTTACGACTTGTGTGAATTCGTTCCAAAAGTTGTATCACTGGCAAACAGCTGAATCCGGACTAATTGTGTCATATGTTTTTACAACCTTGTTCGACACAGTCCACTTTTTACGGACGCTTATCTGTAAGCAAAGGTTTTCCCTGGCCACCTTGTACGAAAAAAACTTTTCACACCTTTGCGTGCTGGCAGAAATTGTGATCTGGACAGCACTACCAAACTCAGACGCGCAGGTTCGTGTTTGTTTTTGCTGATAGTAATTTTAAGTAGGTCCTGGACTCAGTCTTGGATCTCTCCGTTCTTCGGTCTGAAGCTGTGGAGCTGAATCAGGGTTCATTTTTTAAATATCACTCACCCATTGCATTCGGGTTGTATACAAACAGCCGTGCAAGAAACGGTCTTCAACCATCGGAATGCGACTAACAGTGCCTGAAGCCCGAAACCTTTAACCGGTTGTTTGAAATGTCTACGAACAACACTCGGTGTCACACCGATGGCCGCTTCGTGTTCACAATGCAACTTCTATCCAAAACCTCTACACGTAGAACCCTACTCTGAGAGAAGGAAACCACGCATATCAGCATATTATTCTGATACCTATGACTGTAAAATGCGTAGAAATGGATACCGCAGCTGGATTCACACGTCCCGATCCCTACCGTCAGCTGAATCCTGTGCCCTCTGTTTTTGCATTTCTGGGCGTGTTCCCGCTTTTCGACTTCCACAAAGACGGACCTCCCTAGCTGCCTTTTCTTGTCCCACAGGAACAACACACGGCAGCAACCTATATAGCTAGGCAGGCTATTTTGAGTACATGTGCCATCGGGTATGTCCGTCGTGCTTTGGTTTTTAGAAAAGTTGTTCATAAATCGCAGAGTGAACTCGACCGATTCCTATTCTGTACATTCGTGAACTCTCTATAGTTTACAACAAAAGACACATTTTCTAGAATTTCCCCCCTTGGTGAGAGGCTTCCCCTTGATTTGCGTTTTTCCTGCATGAAGGCTATGCTTTCTTTCTGCGGGCTGACCGTTTTCAGTTCCAGCCGTTGCAAACATTGTCAAACGACACTGCAGGCGAACTGCCCTGCATTTTTCACATAAGTGGCTCAGTTCACATTAACCGCAGCCCAACCCTGTTTGTTCGGTGGTCTTCACGACCCACTATAGAGCCTCTTCCATCATGTACTTGTTTATCATGCTTCGTTATTGGAATTACGTTGATCTCAGAACCTCGGATACGACGAATTTTCCTTTGTCGTCACAGTGCACTCTTGTCATTTTCGTTTTATTCGCCCCTGCAGTGCGCACATCCCCGCAGAAATCTCGGCTAACTTCTTACTCTTTACTCCGAATTCCTCCTCTACAGGGTCACAGCTACCGTGGCGTTAGTTTCCG